AAGAAACAAAAACAATGGCGATGGCGAGTTTAGCCAGGAGAAAAGCGTATTTTCTCACCAGAAACGTAACCAACTCTCCCACTGACGCTTTCAGATTCTCGTTTTCCCTTTCCCGTGGCTTCGCTTCATCGGGATCTGATGAGAACGACGTCGTAGTCATCGGCGGTGGTCCCGGCGGCTACGTGGCGGCGATCAAAGCGGCTCAGCTTGGTCTCAAAACCACCTGTATCGAGAAACGCGGCGCACTTGGTGGTACTTGTCTCAACGTCGGTTGCATTCCCTCAAAGGTCAATTTCGAAATTTCTCCTCTCGATTTTATCGATTTTTTGTTGTTGTTCTCGTTGCTGATCATCATTGAGATTTGAATCTGTGTCTTTCATGGATGAGTCAATTGATTACTGTCCTTGTGATGATGATTTTGGTTTTTCTCATGGCCTTAATCCCATTATCACTGAATTCTGGATTCGTCTGCTTGACTCCATGGAAATGTAATTGAAGTAAACTTATACATGTCTTTAGATTGTGACTTATGTATTGTATCATAGCTGAATCAGAGAAACCATAATCTGCGATACAGTTTGTGTCAAGTTCTCTGATTCTATGAAGCTTTTCGTTAGATATGCAATTTACTTCCCACAACTTAAGCTGCTGCTAAGTCTATGATGATGTTATTAGTTTCATCTTAATCAACATTTTTTTTTTGGATATGATGTGTTTTCTGATGTTATTAGGCCCTTCTTCACTCTTCACATATGTACCATGAGGCGCAACATTCTTTCGCCAAACACGGTATCAAGGTATCTTCGGTTGAGGTTGATCTTCCTGCTATGTTGGCTCAGAAAGACAATGCGGTTAAGAACCTAACTCGAGGTATTGAGGGTTTGTTCAAGAAGAACAAGGTAACCTATGTCAAGGGTTATGGTAAGTTTCTTTCCCCCAATGAAGTCTCTGTGGAAACAATTGATGGAGAAAACACCGTTGTGAAAGGCAAGCACATCATTGTTGCTACTGGCTCAGATGTCAAATCTTTGCCTGGTATTACGATTGATGAAAAGAAGATTGTTTCATCGACTGGAGCATTGTCTCTGTCGGAAATTCCAAAGAAACTGATTGTGATTGGTGCCGGATATATTGGGCTTGAGATGGGTTCTGTTTGGGGTCGGCTTGGATCAGAGGTCACCGTTGTTGAGTTTGCTGGGGATATTGTTCCTTCGATGGATGGCGAAATCCGCAAGCAGTTTCAACGTTCACTCGAGAAGCAAAAGATGAAATTCATGCTCAAGACTAAAGTTGTATCCGTGGACTCCTCTGGAGACGGTGTAAAGCTCACTGTGGAACCGTCAGATGGAGGAGACCAGACCACACTCGAAGCTGATGTTGTCCTTGTCTCAGCGGGAAGAACACCATTCACATCTGGACTTGATCTGGAGAAAATCGGAGTTCAAACTGACAAAGCCGGGAGAATTCTGGTGAACGAGAGATTCTTGACCAATGTCTCAGGCGTGTATGCGATTGGAGATGTGATTCCAGGACCAATGCTTGCTCACAAAGCCGAAGAAGACGGTGTCGCATGTGTGGAATTCATAGCAGGCAAACACGGCCATGTGGATTATGACAAGGTTCCTGGTGTTGTCTACACACATCCTGAGGTTGCATCGGTTGGAAAAACCGAAGAACAGCTGAAGGCAGATGGTGTGAGTTACCGGGTTGGGAAATTCCCGTTTATGGCTAATAGCAGAGCTAAGGCCATAGATAATGCAGAAGGATTGGTTAAGATTTTGGCTGATAAGGAAACCGATAAGATCTTGGGCGTTCACATTATGGCGCCAAACGCTGGAGAGCTGATCCATGAAGCGGTTCTTGCGATTAACTATGATGCATCGAGTGAAGACATTGCTCGAGTTTGTCATGCTCATCCCACTATGAGCGAGGCTCTCAAGGAAGCTGCAATGGCCACTTATGACAAGCCGATTCACATCTAAAAACAAGGTATGTCACGGTTTGGTTTGGTTTGGGTTTCGGTTCAGAATTCTGATTTTGCGGTTTTGATTTTTTTTTTTTTTGTCACTCTTGTCCCAAACTAGGAAAGCCCTTAGGAGAGCCACAGATTAGAAGCCAAATCGATCTCTTAACCAGGTTGGATCTTGGTTACATTTGGTTCGGTTTTTGTGGTTATTTAGCTTTCAATTCTTCGACCTGATTTGGAATGAGCTTAAAAGAAGATACTGTATACTGTTTTAATTTGTTAATGTTCTTTTCTCATATGTTCAGATTCGGGTTAGGCCTGATAAGTAATAATAATTCGACATTCACTCAAAACCATTTTTGGTTTATTGGGTAAACCAATTCGACTCTGATTTCTTGGTTCCGTTCGATAATCTAGTTTCGGTTACGTTTAACCGAAATTTTGAATATTTACTCGGTTAATCTTTATATATCACTAGTTGACCACCCGCGGGACTA